CTATCTATCTATCTATCTATCTATCTATCTATCTATCTATCTATCTATCTATCTAGTATATAGGTCTGTCTGTCTGTCTGTCTGTCTGTCTGTCTGTCTGTCTGTCTGTCTGTCAGTCAGTCAGTCAGTCAGTCTGTCCTTTACTTCTCTTCTGTCGGGCTTTCACTTAGCAGCTCGCCCCATCCCTCCTTCCCTCCAAACAATTGCCCATTTTTTCACTTCATTCAAATTAATGATCGGTGGACCCTCACTGTAGTTGGCTCTGCACGTCTTCTTCTTCTTCTCTTTTCTCTTCTCTTTATTTTTCTATTGTTTTGACTGTTTAATAATGAAACCACTCTCCCCCGGATTTAGTGCTACAGTGGAAACAACAGCTCAGCGTACTATATGTGAGGCAGCGCGGTGGAATCAGGCTCTCGTCAAAATAATCAAAGTGAAGAAACTTGCATTTTTCCATGGGCTTGTGAATTTTTATCAAATTTTTGTTTTTCGGCTCAACACCTTTCATGCCCATTAAAGAACTCATTTCTATGTGGATTTTTCGGAAAAGCGTTGATTAAAGGCATAAAAAATGTAAATCTTCAGTTACCACGGACTCTTTAAGCTAAGGAAATAACTATCTTTAGCGGTCATTTTCTCACTAATTTTACCTCTGAAAACAGGTGACCCCCACCTCTTTCATTCGTAATATCTCGACTTGTATTCAAGATAAACGGATATTTTTCGCATCCAAATTAAGACAAGTGAACAAGCTTTAAGATGATACCAATACCTCTACATGCCCAAAAAATGACGAGAGCCTGATTTCACCACGTTGCCTCACATACTATCTACTTGCCAGCAGTTACTCTGATGACTCCACGTGGGCGGTATTGCTCAACTACGTATTTATGCTGTACAGCTTCTGTTCACATGCCTTTTATTCTATTTTTTAAAATAAGTTTTTTTTTTACGACGCTCGCTACTGCATAAGGTCATATGAGCGCGCAGGACACACTTAATATTTTCAGTTGGTAGGAAATTTTGAATTTTGCCCGGGTGGCGGCCGAAGCCTACTCTTAACCTTTTTAGACCACCAAGGGATCTTTAACGTGCGCAACTTGCTCACGGGCCCTCCGAGATTTTTCGCCCTTGTCCGGGAAGGCTAGGTGTAGATCTTTCCTACCAGAAAGACAGCAATAAGGAGGAGCCAAGGAGTAGCAATAGAAAGGCTGCAGAAAGAGGCAGGAGCCCAGAGGAGGGGGCAAAGGAGGTGAAGGGGTGAGAGGCCAACACCTTAACCTCTAGGCCACGAGAGCCCCCTTTTATTCTATTAGTGTAGGTGTTTTATATATAATGTCTCTATTAGTGTAGTTTTTTTTTATATACAATGTCTCTATTCGTGTAGGTGTTCTATATATATAATGTCCCCATCGACACAATCTGGTTAATTTAGGATGCGGGCTTCGACTCTGCATACCAAGGCCAACCCGGGTTGAGTGGGATACAATGTCCCATGCCCGGCAGAAAGAATAAGATATTCGTGAAAAGTTCTGCGTACACGGGAATCGAACTCGGATCTTCTGCGTGCGACGGTAAAACATGTAACGGCTACATCACAGACGCTGCATTTCCTTCTGCGGTGCTACTAGTGCTGCTGCTGCTGCCGCTCTCAATGCTACTGCTGCTGCTGCTGCTACAGCATATTACTCGTGCTTATATTGCTGTTTTTTAAATATATAACAAATGGTCCTACTCGAAAGCCCCTTACACTGTATTATTACCCGATAGATTTTACAAACATTCCGACGCGCACCCCGCTCCCATCAAAGAACACAGTATTAAGTAGCATTATTTTTACAGGTGCCCAAACATTAAACGGACAAGATCCGATACTGTTTGAGCATAT